TAGTAAATGAAAGTTTTTGCTATTCACAATAGTCTTTCTTGTTATTATGCCTTTAATTATATGTATTTGAGAGTAGCTGTTGTCTGTTTCCTATTTATATTGTTTTTCCCCTATAAAAGATCATTTCCTGGAGAGAGGTATCTCATATTTACATTATTTTGTCAAAATCCTTTTCACCTAACTCTTTTATGATATCTAATACATAGAACAAACCAAGGTCACTCTCAGAGCACCAAGCATCCCTTGCCAGTCAATTTCTTTTTTAAAAACGGAATGTTTGGTCATCTTAGAGAATAAAACTTAACAGAGACCCCATTAGCTGCAGTGGTTTTGGTCATAAAACATAGAGGGATGGAAATGAGGGGAGCCAAATAAATGAGAAGTTTGGCACAGAGAAAATTTCAACTTCAAAAGGCATTATGAGCAATGTAAAATAAACATATTACAATTGCAACAGAAAATTTGATGGAACCTCTAAAATGTAATTTCCCCCAAGCTTGAATAGCTCCATAATACCAGTGATGTTTTAAAAATTTAGAATACACATGTATTGGAAATAGGTCATCAATCACATGAGCCTGTTGGAACCCTTACCTGGCATAAAGCAAGATCCTCTAGAGAAAAGGCATGGGGTCAACATATTTTGATACATATTGAGTTGAGGATTGGCTAGGGAGGGATCTACATACTGAAAGCCTGCTTCAAGAAGATGGGCCCACAGAAGTCGCTAACGCCCCCAAGAGAGGTTACTCAAAGAGCAGTTAAAAGGGCAGGAAGGAATGAAGCCAAGGAACAACAGAGAGTGGAAAGCCCCAAACCAACGTCTCGCATTTTCCCATTTAGGCTGAGACCTTGCCATGCTGATGATTACCACCAAATCTGGAAATCTGGAAGGCTTGTGCAGTGCTGAGCATGTTTAAATTTCTTCTCTTCAAAGCACAAGTATGAAGCCAATTATGTTCCTTCTGCATTCTTCTGAACCACGCCGCAATGCCCCAGCTCATGCTAAACATGATGAGCAACTACTGATCTTAATCAGAGGTATGGTGTGCTGCACTACCAAGAAAACATGTGGCTTCTGAGCCAGAGACATAAAGTCAACAGTACTTCACAGTAAACTTCTGAAAGGTAAAGGGGACAAAAGGCCACCTTTTCTGTTAACTTTCAATTCTTTCAGAAGATTTAAAACAATGTTTTTCAAATACACAGACTGTGCTTCTTCAAGCATAACACAGCAATGATACAAGATGGGTCAGGACTTTTTTTTTTTAATTTAAAGCTGAGGTGGATGAACTTGCAAAACATGAGTAATAAATATGACTTACGAAGCTGCTCACCTCTGGAGATAATGAAATAACAAAATCCATGTTCCCTCAGATATGTTAGTTATTCCATAGTGCATTTCTCAAAGTACATCTGCATTCTATCTAATTTTATAAACACAGATATCCAAACATGTTTCTACAATTTATTTTTCAGTACCAGTGCCTGGAACTCTTTAGAACAATGTACTTCTACCATGCCATTGTTAAAGGTTTGGAAATTTAGGTATTTGTTTTTGTAGTTGGCTTACTTTTGAATTCAGTTGGCCATATCTTTTTGGTTGCTCTGATTTTCCACAACTTTTAGTTACAAAATCATTGTAAATATGGAATGTCAAAGTAGAATTAAGGCACTTGACAACATCTACATTCAAATGCCCACAAATTCTTACACATACATTAATATGTAAAGTCTGATAGCACAGAAATGGGTTTTTAAATCAACAATTACTTTTAAATATAGTTCTAATAAAGAAAAAGGCACAAGTTGAACGTAGAGAGACTTGAGATTTATTTCAGCTCCACTCCTAGGTAGCTGCATTTCCCTAGAAGAGTCACTTTTAACTTTATTTTTTATGTGGCTGCTTTTACATTGATTGCAACAGAATGTTGAACTAGATTCCATTGTTCAGCTAACAAATAATCATTGAGTATGAATTATATGTAAGGTCCTATGCTACAACCCAGGGGAGTGTCAGGGTTGCAAATGGGCACCAAAACCAGTCCTTGTTTTCTAGGCATTCCCCCTAACATATCAACTTCTCCCTTTTACTTGTATTCCAATTTGAAGTTTCCAGTTATCTACAAATCACTTTGAACTCAAGGTGTTTAAAAACAGACTCATCAACTTCCTGATAAAATGGATTTTCTTCTCTCTGTCAATGACTATCCATTTCCCAATGACCCAGTGCAGATATTTTGAAATCTGTCTGACCTCTCCTACACTTTCATTTGCCATTTCCAAATTTCCACCAAGGCTTAATGATTAATCTGAATTGATCTTGGATACATCTTTCTTTCATTCTATTTGCCCCAATCCAGCCTTGCGTCTCATACCTTAAGTACCAGATTACAGTTATTGATTGCCTGTAGTCCTAGTTTTCAGGAACTCTTTTCTCCAATCCAATTTTATACATAATTTTCCCTACAAAGTTTCATAAAACAACAACCTAGAATGGCTTCTCAATAACCTCATCTTAGGTCTAAGCTCCTTTATTTGGCTTTTAAGGTCTGCCATTATTCTTTCCTCTTCTACCATCCCAATTTCAGATCTGTTTACTTAACAAAACACTCACTTATTCTCAAGTCTGTGCTCTTATTCATGTGGCTTTCCACCTTGGAGTGATATTTTTCCTTCTCTTATTAAAAGGTAAGTGATCTTTCAAGACTCATTTCAAGAATCACTTCTTCCTGTTTTGAACTCCTATTGAATTTTTTTACAGTTCATTCTACACTACTTGGCATTACTCTTAATTATTTTATATATGTTCTTTCCTTATGTTTTTATATTTGTTTTATATTTACATCTCCCATGGAATTTAGCCTAATGCTAGACACATAAGATGTTATATAAATACTTGTTGCTTGATTGACCTATGTTTATGCTATGGCTTAAAAAAAAATTCGAACCCACCAATAAACATTTACTGAGACAACTAAGTTCAATTTCATGGATAAAGCAAGATATATAATGCATGGTCTCTGACATCCAAAAAGTTAACATCTTATTATTAACATTACCTCACAAACGTGTCTTATTGTTAACATTCCCTCACAAATATCTGCTTAAAGTTCAATTCAGTATGGAGTCATTCAGACAGACATTAACATTTTTTTGCAACCCTATTCTATCCAGTCTATGCCCTCTTTTGTTTCTTTCCTACTATTAGTCTGACACTCTTTTTCTCATCTATACCTTCATCTTCTACAAAGATAGAATGGTCTTGGAAACTATATTCCTCATGACATCAAGGTCTTATTCAGGCCTGATTTCTCAATTTCCTATTCCTTTGCCTTCTGGTGCCTTGAAAGGAAGAACTGGAAAATGTACAGGGTAGAAATCTTTCAATTGGATGGGCTCTTACAATGAGAAACAGAGATTGAAGATATCAAATGGGTGTACTAAGTCTTCTAAGAAGAAATATGAATCCCTTTTTACTCTACTAAGGAACATTCAGTTAATTAAGGACATCTGACATTAGACTGCTCTAAAATCAGAAGCAAAACTAGATGAGAGAGGAAACTTACAGATTTCCTCATATCAGAAATTAAATTGAGAATTTCATAAAATATTTTAATAACAATTGGCTATTCTTTAAAGAGACAGTTTATTTTAAGTAGGTGTTTTGTCTTAAAGTTTACTGTTTGCTATATTGTTCTTTACAAAGTACATAATTAGTAAAAGTTAACTTTTATATGTGCTTATGCAAAAGTTAAGCTTCTGAAGAGAAACATGTACTACCTGTCAGTTTATTACTGATAGCCTGACCAGCTGGTGCACTCATCATTATTCTCCCAGAGGTAGAGCTCCTTGAATTGCAGGTATAAAGTCTAAAAGAATGAAACTGGTATCTACAGGGAGGATTTACCCATTTAACCTTAAAAACTGGGAGGGTATTGGGGGGTAGAGGGCATAGGAGGGAAGGACAGAAGATTTGAAAGTTCATTCTCTATTATTATATTCTCATCTGAGATATTTGTAAGGACAATAGAAGAGTGAAGTACCTCCACGAGTTCTATTTTACACCTAGCATATGATAGGTTTTACTTAGAAAATGTAAGAACCCAAGGTATTATTTTTGATAGTCTTTAGGGGATTATTATCAAATTAAAAAATCAAGTAAAAATTTTAAAAGTCAAACTTTTTCTTCTGTGAAATAATTATATTGACTTTCTGTTATCCAAGTAGATATAAGATATATCCAAGATCTCTGTTATCCAGGTAGATATAAATCTCCTATTATCTTATTACTATAGTTAGTAAAAAAAGTGTTGCTTAGTTTAAGTTATTAAACTAAAGCCAAATTTAACTAACTCTTGCCCTTTTTCTCTATAATGTCCATTTTTAAAAAAAATCACATTTACTAAAAATTATATTAAGCATAAAGTGAAAGAGCTCTAATATTCAGTTTGTGTCATTTCCAGCAAGTTAAATATGCTTTAAATATCATACCTACAGCAAACTTAACTAATGTTAAAGGGTTTGAAGATGTATGAAAAACATTCAGTAAGATTCATTATAAATATTAGATCAAACTCAGTAGATCAGTAGAAAGCCCAAAATAATGAAAGGGATATTAACCCTTTCAAGGTACCATCTCATCTGCTTTCCAATCCTTCCTACTGAATTTCAGGGGAGTATATTCAAGCTACTCTAAAACAAGAACAATTAAGAAACTCTTGCCAAAATAACATAACTGTAGAACAATGATTATTTTGAATATGGACCTTCCTTGAGGTCAATCCAGGCTTCAACAGAAATCACTAGACACTTCTTGATATTGCCAAGGAATTTTTTTTTTACTTCAAATTAGTTTCCATCACCAAATTATTAGACTGCATTTTCTACTATAAATGATTCATTCTGTTCAAGTTTCATTCATAAAGCAAATTGTAGTCAAATGATAGTTCCCATTACCTTGAAAAATAACTAAACAACAAGAAAAGTCACAGACTTACCATTTTCCTTCTTCATTTGCATATTGTTGAACAGTATATCCAAACATGTCTTCCACTGGGCCGCTGAAAGTCATGGAATTTTTCACATCAACATTGAATGATACACAGAAGCCTAGAACAACTTTAGGAGGGAAAACAAAGTCCCGTTACACAAAGTTAACTAAGAATCTATGATGCTTTGAAATATGAAAGGTGTTTTTAGGGTTACCATGGAAAACTATGTTCTTATTTAACAAGAGCAATGTAGCTGGATTAATGAGAACCTCAAGGAAGGTCTCCACATTAACTGTATTACTAACTGAAAAATCAAAGTAATAGCTTTAAAAAAAATAAGCATTAACATTCAAACAAAATTCTGCAGTATAGTATCTGTACCATTCCCAGAGCTGAAGATTTCAGAATGTACAAGAAAAAGCCAGCAGAAACTCAAACTCAAACATGACTAATGTGCAGTTGCAGGTAGTTCTCCAGTAGTGAGCCCTATATTAAACCATGGTTACCAGGTAACTGTAAACAGCTTAATTACCCCATTTCAACTACAGAGGATAAAAGTATCACCATGTAAAGAAAGCCTCATAAGAAGATACTTTCTCTTTGCTCCTCTCAAAGGGAAAAACAAGCCACTTGTCTCCACCCAGAGATGGCTTCCTAGGCTGGCCTGAGATTTGATCTATTTCCCTTCTTTAATCAAGCAGTGGTCAAAAGCTTATACCAATATTCTGAAGCCTCCTTATTATGTTAGTGGTGATAACCTCACAGATTCCTCTCAAGCATAGATCAGACGATATATCTTAAAGGTTTTATTCAATGCCTGGCACATACTACATATTCGATGAGGATTTAATTCACTTTCATTTCTTCATAGCACAGGTAGTGGAAGCTCTTAATAAGTGAGACTGTCTCCCAAAGTAGTTCTGGAATCATCCCTTCAAATGAATGGTGCCAAATTCCTTCTTTGGTACCAGTTTTTAAAGTGTACTTGTGAAGTTCTAAAATATTTTCCTCCTAGATGTAACTAAGAATTCCTCTTAAGCTGGGTGTGGTGGCTCACATCTGTAATTCCAGCACTTCAGAAGGCAGAGGTGAGAAGATTGCCTGAGCCCAGGGGTTCGAGACCAACCTGGGCAATTTGGCAAGGCCTTGTCTCTATAATAAATTTAAAAATTAGCTGAGTGTGGTGTCCTGGGTCCAGTAGGATGAGGCTAGTGTGGCCATAGGTATGCCACTGCACTCTATCCTGGGTGACAGACTTTGACTCAAAACATTAAAAAATAATAAAAAAAAGAATTTCTCCTAAAGAGCACTGCCTTATACGATCACAGAGCATCATAAGGTACATTCAGAGACAGTTAAGTTCAGTCTCCTATGTTAAAAACACAATATGGTCACATAGATTCTGAAAAATTGTCTTTCCTAGTCTTATAGATTAAGTGGATTAAATCACTCCAGTCACTTAACCCTTGCTCAATATAAACATTTCCATAAATATAGTCTAAATTCAGTCCACTCTAATTCATAATCTTCAAATTTTGGTAACAATATTAAGTGCTTATTTGAGGCACGAGTTTGCATCTTAGAAGAAATTTATTCTTCATGGAAACAAACAAAAAAAGATACTTGTGTATATCTAATTATAAACTTTTGATCTTCCTTACTAAAAGTAATCTCAACTCCTAAAATCTCTTTTCTTTATTTTTAAAGAAATCTCTTATGGAGATATTATTAAATACTACTTACATTGTATTTATCTGTGTGAGATTTTCCCCCCAGATTGGAACATTCTTAAAAGCAAGAATTCTTTACTCGTCTATCTTATCCCTCATCAAAATCTAGCATAGCTTCTCGTACATGGATGAACAATAAACTATTTGTAGGCTGAAAGATAACTTGTTGAAGGAAAAAGTATGCTGGTTGTAGTTAGAGATGAACTGGCAACCATCCATCTTGTTAAGTCAGACTTTACAAAGACAGAAATTTTCAAATTAGATTTTTAAGAGCAGGGAGAGATGAGACTCGGCTGTAAGAAGAAAATGTGTACCCAGTATTTGGGAAGGTCTCTGAAAGCAGTAAGACACGGGACGAGACAAATATGGTTGCAAGATCATGAAGAGATTTGCCTGGCTGGCTCAAAGAAAGCAGAGAAAGAATGGATGGATAGCACAGGACCTTTTATGTACATTTCCTGTTCATTCTTCAAGGGTGATGGAGAACAGCTGGCTACCATCTTCTGCATAATAGTCTTTTATATATCTGAAGACAGTTTTAAACACTGCTTATTCTCTATTCCAAACAAAATGCAGTCATGCGCTACATAATAATGTTTCGGTCAATGAAGGACTGCATATACAACAGAGGTCCCGTAAGATTATAATATCATATTTTTTCCTGTACCTTTTCTATGTTTAGATGCACAAATACTTGACGTGTTACAAGTACCTACAGTATTCAGAATAGTAGCATGATGTGCAGGACTGTAGCCTAAGAGCAGCTATACCGTATAGTCTAGGTGTGTAGTAGGTTATACCATCTAGGTTTGTGTAAGTACATCCTATGATATTTACACAACAAAGAAATCACCTAATAATACATTTCTCAGAAAAGAGACCCTCCATTAAGTGATGTGAACCATGGTACATGCTCCTATCCTTCACAGGTTTTATTTTTGGAACAAACCTGGAATAATTTTTGATACAAGAGATGCACAAAATAGTACTTCTACAGCAGGGTTTCTCAACTTTGGCACTATTAACATTTTGGGTCAGAAAGTTCTATGTTATGAGGGGCAATCTTGTGCACTGTGGCGTGTTCAGCAGCATCCTTGACGCCTACCCATGGAAAGCCAGTAGGACTGAGTTGTAACAATCAAAAAAGTCTCCAAACTCCTGTGGGACCAAAATGTCCCCTAATTTGAAAACCCCTGTCCAACAGATAAAGACCAGAACAATACCATGGATTATTTTGTTGAAGAAGGTGACTGAAAACCAACGATAACCCATAGACCAGCAGCAACTGCGTTACCTGGAACTTGTGAGAAATGTAGACTCTCAGGCCCTTCCAAGATTTCCTGAATCAAAAGAGCCCCTAAGGGAGTCATATTCCTGTTACAGCTTGAGAAGCAGAAGTCTGTAACTTCTTGTTCATGATGTCAATGCAGGTCATGCAAATTATATAAACTAAGAGTACTCACAATGCTTTTGACAAAAGGAGAATGGGACTCTCTTTTATCAGGGTCAATTTTTACCCCCATGAAGGATTTTTCTAATACATCATCACCTCTCCAAAAAGCCATTTGTGGTAGCCCCTCAACATAAGACCAAAAACTTTTGGTTTCCTTTTTAGGTCTATTTATTTATTCTACATGTTATATGGAATGTCCGGGGGTGTGTGTTGCACATTTTTTTCCCCATTTCCTATCCTTAGAATTCTACAGACACTTTGCCTGAAGTGATTGTAACTCTTTCATGTTTTCTGAGGCACCATGGTGACTGAAGCACAGGAGATGACATTAAAAAAAAATAGTTTACATCTTGTTCTTTTGATTTAAAGGAGTGTGTAAACAATAAAAGCAGCTTCTCATAACTTTTAGTTCAATGTTCATTTTGTTATACTAAGTTGGCTTGGAACTTTATGTACCTTAAGCAAAGCAAAATTGTACTTATTCACAATTAAAGCCAAAAAACAAAACATGCAAAGCAAATGCTGAGGTAGTTTAAGGGAAATTACTGAAAATAAAGGAAAATAAACACAGACAATAGATGTCAAAAGTGCATTCTGAATTCACATGTACCAGTAAAAGTTAGGTGTTTTTCCTTACTACTAAAATAACTATAGTGCATATTTACTATGTGTTACTCTCATTTGCCAAGAACTCTACAATTAAATGCCATTTTTTATCACCATTCTGAAGATGAGGAGAAGAAAGCTCAAGGAGGCAGAGAAATTTGCCCACATTTCCACGAAATTCCAGAATCCAAAGTATTAACTACTATTCACGGTAATCCAACTTTTATCTTAGTCCTAAAAATGGAAAAGTAATATGGGGATGGGTTTAGAAGAGAGGTTACTTATTAGTCCACATAAGTCCATCACAAGCGGGGTAAATTTTGGAGCCTTTTCTGCACTAGTGATGGGCTGTGGAAGATGTTGAGAAAGGGATGACTTCAGAGCTCCAGATCAAGCTTCTTGAGGGACTTCAGCTAAAGCAAATTTGTTTAGATAGAAAAGAAGTGAAAGGGTTGCTCCCTTTCAAATATGCTTTTATATGCTCTATACCTAAGGTTTTAAAACTGAAGAGAAAGATGCGGTTTTTGGTGTTAAATATCTCTTGTAAAATAAATAATTTGATACACAAGAAAACTAAATGAGAGGGAGAAGCAACCTATAGTTCTGTAGTGTTTTTTGCTTATAAACATTTTCATACAAATACTGGTATTAAACTATTCAATAGTCTGTGGAGGTTAGGCAGGTCAACAGACATTCCCTTCTTTTTTTATATCAGGAAAATGAAGCTCAGAGAGGTTGAGCGATTTGTCTAAGTCTAAGTTGTATTAATGGCAAAGAGAGAACTTCAACATTTGTCTTCTGAGTTCAGATTATAAACTTTTTTGTGTTTTTTTTAAATTTTAAAGTTGTGGGGGCCAATTCAGGATTAGGTATACAACCGGTCATCATGCAGGTAAAGTTTGGGCCTCCCTTTGGTCTTCACTTCACCTGGTTTGAGATCAGGTACCCTTACTGATGTTGTGCTTCCCCTGCCCTCGCCTGGCAGTTTCTGGCTACTGCCAATCCCTTTCTTATAATATTATGGTAAATGTTCAGGGTCTGCTTATGAGTGAGAATATATGATAATTCTTAGATTCTGTGATAAATCACTGAGTATTATAGACTCTAAATCCATCCAAGTTCCTGCAAAATCCATAATTTTGTTCTTCTTTATGGCTGCATAGTATTTCATAGTGTATATGTACCACATTTAAAAAAATCCAGTCCAGTTTCAATGGGCACCACAGTTGGTTTCATGTTTTTGTGATTGTAAGTAGTGCTGCAATAAATATGCATGTGCAGGTATCATTTTTGTAGAAGGCAAATAAAAAACTTTCTGCAACTAAAGTGCTATTGAGT